AAAAAAAAAAATCACTTTTTTTCAACAATTCTGGTGCTTTAATAAACAACCGTTTAACAACCGTAGACAACCGTTGTGTCTATCAATTTGATAAGAAAAAAATATTTTAGGCCAAAAATTTAGTTATCAAACACTTAATTGTTTTTTACTTACTCCCATCTTATTTTAAAAAAAACAAAACAAACAAAACCATTTTTAGCCTTACCCTTACTTATACATGAAGTCCACGGTTGTATCTCTCGGTTTTCCCTCAACTTATCATTGTGGACGATGTTTAGTGTCTGTTGTTCATCCAATGCCAAATCGATGCTTGAATTTCCAGAAGTTTTTAAAGAATTCTGGCTTTGAATGTTCGTGGCTGATGCTCATGTCTGCTGAGGCTTCGTTGTAAATGTTTCAGGTCACAGTATCCTGAGTTAGTCCAGACGTTGTCACACAATGACAATAAAAAAGCAAGAAAAACAGTAATGGCGGTTTCTTACGGGACAGACACACAGCCAGTCTTTTCGTTTGTACCATTACATTTTAGAAGAACGACTCTTCTGTCCCGTAGTTTGAAGCTAACCTTTTAGCTCCGGCGTTGGTCTTCCATCACTTATCTTCTGTTTAGACCGGAAGTCCAGTTTTGAGAAATATTTCCATCTTGAAATACAATCCATAGTCAGTCAAGATCGGGCAGAGCATAGAAAACGCTGTTCTTCTTCTACTACTGGCTCTAGCTTGGCGTCGACTTTCAGTTCACGTACGACCCCTTGAGGTGAGGCAGAGTACTGTTTGCCTCCCCGCTGACTTTTCACTGTACTTTATTGGCTGCAACAGAAACGGGCAACATCATGTGACCCGGTTTGCAGTCAAAAGTGAGGCACAGCTTGCCGCTGCCTCACCGGGAATTCTGCTCTGTATTTGAATGCGAAATACTCGAATTCGGCGATTTTTACTTAATAAAATGTCAAAATGTGTAGCTTCACACTGAAAATGCATCTTAAACACAGATCAGTGGAAAATATTAATATTTATTTTATGTGTTCGGTTCTTTTTTTATCATGATGGCAGGTGAGACACTGCCCCCCCCCCCCGCCCCCCCGTCCCCGGCACGCCTGCCCACCTGATTCTCAACAACATTTTGAACAAAAATAATTCTCAAGAAAAACCCACCATCGCTTCGACTGATAAAATCTCTGCTTGAACGTAAAAGTTACGACCGAAGCAAACTTTAATCTGTTAATCTGATGTTTACCAAGGTTCTATGTAACCCAAGAGGTTGCTAAACAACACCAGCATTTCCTGTGCCGTCCACTTCCTGATTTGTCATTTTACTTGGCTTAATAAAGTAGAGAAACTGTGTTTTAAGAGAGTTGAACATTAAAGACAGTTTCACTGCCTCATGTGCTGTCTGGTGGCAGTAAGGCTTTAGACCTTACGATTTAAGGGTGGACAAAGGTCCTGTAAAAGGTTATATCTGACATATATGACAAGAGATCAAGAAAAACTATTATTCAACTTCAATCAGTGATTACTTTGAACTTGTTTGCCGATTCCTTGGGTGTTTCGGGGTCCGGGCACCTACTGAGATTGCTGAGCTCCCACGTCTGCCAGACTACACTTCTCGTTGATTTGCTAAACACCACTCCCCACTACCTATCAACGCATTGCATTGTGATGACAGACAAACTGCCAAAATAAAAAGGCTGAGCGGTATCTTGCTGCTAAAACTAGCATAGTGGTTGATATAGCCACAGAAATGGAGACACACAGCGTCGTTCAGCATCTTGTCAACGACCGTAGTAGTGGTACAGACTGAAAAGACAAATTCCATGGATAGCCTACGATGCTGCAAAAAAAACAAGATACAGTGGAACCTCGAGATACAAGCATGATCCGTTTCAGGATCTAACTCGTAACTCGAATCATGTTTTCCCATAAGAAATAACAAAAGAAAAAAGATTTAATTCGTTTTGGATCTCTAAAAACTCCCTAATTAGTGCTAATAACAATGGAAAAAAACATGTTTTAATTGCTATAGAAACATAAACACAAAAAGTTATAGTATTTAAGGATTCCTGTGATATTAATAAAATGTGGCTTCAATTACGAGAGACGGATGATACAGTAGCGGCTAATGGTGGCATGTGTGGAGGAGGAGATGAAGGGAGGGAAGAGAGTTGGTCCACACGTAGACACTTGATTCCGTAGCATACCTTACACGTACACTACGTAAGTTACATAAACTTAGTATTAACCTAACTTACGTAATCTTTTAAACTTTACTTTATTACTGTATTTAGTATTTGCTTTTTTTTAGATTTGTATTCTTTCTTTAGCGGCCACCACGCTCATATTTATCGACAATTTTTGTACTTTACTTCCATAGTCATCGTCTTTTTTTTTCTTCCAACTACCATCCTTACCAGAGTTCATCACTATTATGAAGAATAATGCACAGAATAGAGAGAAAATCACGTTGATAACGCGAGTGCTCGGCCACCTAGTGTCGGTGTCTTTAAGTGTGCTCGTATCATGAAGCAAAAATGTGCCCGGTGGCTTGCTCGTATTTTGATGTTCCACGGTATTTATCCCAACAAACTGTAAAATCAGTTGTTGTTGTTATTGTTAATTATTTTCCTGCTTAATTTCACTTTTCTTAATTCTAAAACGCATTTTCTGATTTTCTTCAACATATGCAATATTTTATTTTCCTTTTTTTAAATTCTATTAAGAGAGACAGATTTATTTGTCCTTAGATTTAAAATTAAATATATTTAATACAAGTAGAAAACAAGCACATAATCTAAATATTGCACACAACCTTGTATAAGACGATCTGATGATTCAAGCAGAAATTGTGCCAAATTTCATAGAAAATTCTTGTTACAATAAGTTGAATATTTTTTACACTATGTCATTTTATTATACACATGACCTCAGCAAAGACAGCAGCCATCTTAACTGTGTTAGTAATACTGCTGATAGGTGGGATAGGAACCCATGAGCTGAGTGGGGGCAGAGGGCAGTATGAGGCTACTGTACTGGTATGTGTCCAGGGGCAGTGTGGGGACGCTGGGCAGACGAGGGCCATATTGAAGGCTGTGTTGATGGACGTATGCTGCAGCACTTGACTCCTCTGCTCCTGTTGTGGCTGCAGCTGTGTGGTACCTGTGATAAGGTCCTGGCCTGTAGGCCTGCAGCTCAGGATAATGCATAAACGGAGAGGCCATGTTGGCCTGGCAGGCATGAGCCAGGGCGTCCTGCATCGTCCTCTTCAGTTTCATCCTCCTGTTCTGGAACCAGTTTCTGATCTGAAACAGACAGGAGAGAACATTCAGTTGGATGTAAGATGAAATAAATTGTTTTATAAAATGTTTTAGAGACTGACTGGAATATGATGTCATAAACCGTATGGTTACCTGTTTGTCAGAGAGATTGAGCTTCTTGCAGAGATCGGCTTTGTCTTGCGTGCCGAGGTAAGCGTTCCTCTTGAAGGCCCTCTCTAGACTGCCGATCTGCTCTGCTGTGAAGGCCGTGCGTGGACGCCTGCCTGAAGGAGGGGACGCTGGAGACGAAGATACGCTGTCGTGGTGTACCAACGGGGAGAGAGATCGATCACCCTCACTCTCGTAGCCGGAGGTCTCCTCCTCTGTCCCACTACTGAAGCTGCCCTCTGTCACTGTAATAAAAATAAGAAATAGAATTAGTTCATACTCAGTGACAGCTACAGTAGAACAGGAGGTGTTTGACCCACATGTACCATGTTAAATATCCAAATATATCCTGTACCTTTTAAATAAGTACTACCTCTCACCAAGTACAACAGGAAAGTTACTGAGAAATATTTAATGTCCTTTGAATGTTGTCTGGCAGTGAGTATTCAAATGAGTTACTCTAATTTTGTTACACATAATGTACAGTTTTAAACACCCTAATATCCATTTTAACATAGTTCAACCTTGTTTCTTGTGTGCCTTAGTGCAATAAATATTATAACTATTTATTTTCATTTTAATTCAATTTCTAGAGACATAAACCTATGTCTACCTCACAGATTATTCTATAAATGTCTGTCAGATTTGAATCACTGCTGAAACACATCACTGTCTTGTTTACAGCACTGCCTGGACTTACCCTGTGTGTTCAGAGAGGCCTGGTGCTGCAGTGAGCTGGGCTTGTACGTGTCCACACGACGTCCAGAGCCGTCCTCCTTCTGCTCAAGTACTCTGTGAGACTTGGGTCTGCAGTAAAAACCTGGAAGACTCTCTGAGGTGGTCCCACAGGCCGTGAGTTCTGAAGCTGTGGTGACCTCTGACCCTGCAGGCTGGCTGCTCTGGGCCATCCACTCGATGGAGAAGTGTCCCCTCATGGCTGCGCTGTGGTGCTGGACTCTATGAAGGAATTCCGGGGGTAAATCCGATCGTGTTCACTCTGTGAGTGTTGGGCTGAGTGTTGGTCCAAGAGTTGGCTGTTCAATGAATCCTCCAAAGGAAGCTGGTGTGCTTTTATAGGGGTCTCCGCAGCCCATCCCACACTGTCTCAGGCCCAAAGATCAAAGCATGCATTTTAACAACCCTCCCCTCCTTTAGTTTTCACAACTGGAGTAATTAAGGCATCTCATTGAGTCTCAATGAGGCTGTTACAGTATGGCTCCAGTAAGTCTAGGAAGAACCCCCCCGCCCTCCTCATTGCCCCAAAGACAGATAATGGACACACCTCAGCCCCAGTCTGTCTGCATGGCCTCCACCAGTCAGACGCTCACCTGAGTACTGAGGCCTAACACAAATCAAAGGAAACTGGCCTTACGTCGTAGTCACTTTTAGTCACATCATTCAAGAAACCAAAATGCAACCATTTTAATTATATTTTTAATTAAATTTATAGTGTAATTTACTGCACCAGGCCTAAGAAATAGTTTTATTTAAAAATCAGACAACACATCATGTGGGACTGCAATCCATTCTAATTCATCTGAAAATTTAATGTTATTTATTTTAAATTTTGGACAAAGTGGAAAATTTACTTGATTTGACAAACAAATTTCCTTTAGAATAATTTTGCCAGTATATTAATAACAAAAAAATCAAAGGTAGGTGGATTTATTTAAGATATTGTAGATATGGCCTAAAATTCTTAATAAATTTTAATCATGTGTTACAGTTTTTTCTTCATTAATTAAGTATTCTTTAATTATGATAATCAAATATACAACTTTATTGGTTAAAATTTTTCATTTTGCACTTTTCTTGGCACATTTTACCTTGGTGTTTCATGTACATGTATTTTTCATGTATTAAATAAGGTAAAATAGTTGACTTATCATGTAAAGTGCAAAATTTAAAAAAAACTGCTCAAAGTTATTGACAGAATATTAATGTTCTGTCAATAAATAAAAAAATCAATTATTAATAAAATTCATATTTAAATTGGCTACGACTTACCTTTACCGAAAAGAAAAAAAAGAGAAAGATTTTTAGACGTAGACGTCCAACTCTTCTCCGTTCCAACAACCGTTGATCAAAGTCTTTAGATTCACTGTCACTGCAACATTTCTCATCTGAACCTCATTCCAAATCAAACTCCATCAATGACACAGTAACAGGTTTACACTCAGCCTAACAGAGGATGAGTGGTTTAATGTGAAAGCACATGGTTATCTGGGATAATCCCCCCAGATTAGAGAGCGCTCATCATCAGAGCTGCCGCACTGATGGGTTTAAACCCTCTGTTGTGACATTTCACATGGAACCAATGATCCTGTCACTGATCCATGTTGATCCCTGCATCAATTAGCACAGGCTAGTAGTTGTTAAAGAATGTTTTTTAAAATTCAACATCACAGAAACAAGTACAGTGAAGTGATGCTGAGAAACTATGTTCAAGTATGAAGCTCCACGGTGTTGTTAGTTTGAAGATAAACAGTGTGTACATAGGACTTGGTTCTCCTCCCAAACACATCCACTAAATTTATAACTTTATTTCCTCATAATATCACATATTTATTCTCAACAACGTATGACTTTTTGTTGTAAACTGACAACATCCTCTCTTGGAATATTACACTGTTTTTCCTATAACGTTTAAGGATTTTATTTATATTAACTTGTGATTTTATCACAATAAACTAAATACATTTTTAAAAAATAAATGACTTTATTCCCACAATTTTCTGACTTTCATTCAATCCAATCATATCTAGTTATAAAATTAGAACTTTCCCGAGTAATTTATTTTATTTTCACAAACTCACGAAAGTATGTTTTTCTCATAACGCTAAAACCTTTTTTCTAACTATTTTTTTACTCTTTTCCAATATAAGCTGTAGAGACCTATGCTCATCAACTCACGACTTTCTCCAGATTTGTGCATTTGTTTCAAAAAAAATTTTTATCCGTAAAATGTACGCTTATGACAATACAGACCATAAAATAAAATAAAACTGCAATTACTTTTCCAGAATAAAGGCATTCTCTCCTTATGAAGCCATGATTTAGTCATAAATAAACGACCTCATTTTCATAAACGACTTCATTCTCACTAACTTTATTCCTGTAATCATAAATATTGTGGCTTTACTCTGGTGTAGTTCTCATATACTTTTTTATACTAAAAAAGTTGGGCTTTTATTTTGCTAAACCTCTGAATTTATTAAGAAAATGTATTCTCTTAAACTAACGACGCCATTCTGGGAAACTTTCACCCATAATGTTATAACAGTATTTAAATATCCCCACGACATTATTCTTATAATATTCTTGTGAATTTATAACACACACTCACACACAAAGACAAAGTTCTTATCACAACACTGGTCCTGTTTGAAGTGACCATGTGTCTATGATAACACTCTCTCTCACACACACAGACAGTGCGTCTGCATCAGCGGAGATGACGACGGCGCTGACTGACCCCAGCAGCCACAGCGCCGCTGTTGACTCATCACCGCTCTCTCATGATCTTATCAATCAGATACAGCAGGGACGGACGGACGGACGGGGGCTGTTGTGTCGTGATTGCCCCGATTAATTCTTTAAAACCACAATGCGTTTGTTGACGGCCTGTTGCATTTGCACATGAAACAATAGCTGCCGTCTGGACGGCTGTCAGAGACCGTTCACTCATCTGAATGTGGGACACTTCACACCGGGATCATCATCAGCAGCTCGTTATCAGGCCCTCGGATTAACACCACCGAGTTTCACTCCGTGTCTCTTTTGTGAATGAGTTGATAACATTATTTGCAACGGGAATTTTCGTCAAAAACACCAGAACGGCATTTCACTTACAAACAAACAACACGGTATTACGGAACCCCGTGTATCCAGGGGGTTTACAATCAACTCTGGAGCCTTTGCGGCCAGTTGTCGTTTGTGTTAGCAGTGGCGGTGCTAGCCTATTTGGCGCCCGTGGTCAAAATCCCTCCGCCGTTCTCCCCAGAAAAGAGTTCTCGTTCACATCAACTGTATTTGTGTTTTGGTAAAATCACACAAATTAGTTCCAAATTATAAATAACTACGAAAGAAAACACAAAAAGAGGAAATAGCTATATAAGAAATGTTAAATATATATCTACTCATATATACTGAACATACGTTATATATACATCACAGGCAAATGCGTGTACCTGTATGGTACAACACAATTCTATGTTTTACAGAACACTGTCAATACTACACAATAAAGAGTTTTATTCCTAATTTATTATTTTTATTTTAGTGTATTTAAGTGCTCATGTTCTACCAGCACTTCCTTTAAGATCCACTGGGGGATCCTGGTCTACGATATATATTTGTCTTAAAACAAAATACCTGCAGATGTCAGTCACTTCTAACAGTTCTTCCTGTATCTTTGAAAATGCTTTGCTTTTTCTGTCCATTGTGTGGTGCTATTGTTACTTTTTACTTAGCAGTTCATCATAAGCATTTTCA